TTGACTGGTGTTATGGTCAAATGCTCCTTTTGTGAAAGCGTTTCCAATCTGGATTAAAACACTCTATCGGGGCTGGGTGTGGTGACTCACTCCTGTAATCTCAGCACCTTGGGAGACCAAGGTGGACAGATCAACTGAGGTCAGGAGTTTGAGACCAGCCTGGCCAACATGGCAAAACCCCGTCTCTACTAAAAATACAAACATTAGCTGGGTGTTGTGGTGGGCGCCTGTAATCCCAGTTACTCGGGAGGCTGAGGCACAAGAATTGCTTGAACTCGGGAAGCAGAGAGGTTTCAGTGAGGCGAGATTGCGCCACTGCACTCCAACCTGGGCGACAGAGTGAGACCCTGTCTCAAAATAAAAACACAAAAACCTCTATCGGTTATAGTAGTTACACCAGCACTTGGTGGAGGTGCATTAGATGCTGCATATTCTGAGATGGTATCATGCTGAAATGTGTATGTTTATGAACTACCTGTTTTGCCTGTAAAGGGATGAACTGACTGTCAAAGCTGTTTCCTTGGAATCCTGGGGTTTGTAACAGAATCATTCAGCTCTGCTACTCAAAGTGAATTTAAATGAAGACAACTGCTGGCAGCCGTCTTCACTTCCTTTTTCCAGATGCACCTGAAAACACCAAGCCATTCTGTCGTTTTCAAAAGTTAAGTCCTAGAGTATTTCCAGTTACTTTGAGGAAGAAAACATCTAAAGCCCTTGCAGGCAAACAGAACCGAGATGAGGCCATTGTGTGTCAATGCATCCAAGAAAGAACCTCTACAGAGAACCAGGACCTCAGGGCTCTTCCACTGGATACTGTGGAACATGATTTATTGAGCTGTTTGTTTTGTGTTCCTACTATTATGGATGGCTCAAAAACAAATGAACAAAACAGGTATGTGTTTAGGCTGGGCGCGGTGGCTCATGCCTGTAATCCCAGCACTTTGGGAGGCCGAGGCAGGTGGATCACCCGAGATCAGGAGTTTGAGACCAGCCTGGCCCACATAGTGAAACGCTGTCTCTACTAAACATACAAAAATTAGCCAGGTGTGCGCGCCTGTAATCCCAGCTACTCAAAAAGCTGAGGCAGGAGAATCGCTTGAACGCGGAAGGCAGAGGTTGCAGCGAGCCAAGATCGCACCACTGCACTCTAGCCCGGGCGACAGAATGAGACTCTGTCTCAAAAAAATAAATAAATACAATAAAACAAACAGATATTTTTCCCTCTTTCATTCCAAGGAGTCATTATGTTTCTGTGCTCCATTGCCCTTTCTGAAAGAGCTACATGATAAGGGCGGGGAGGTGAAGTTATGGGGAGGCTCTGTCTTCTACCCCTGGATTTGTGTGAAATGAGCAGTTTATTAAGGGAGGCAGATGTTGTGGGAGGCTGGAAAGAGAAGAGGCCGAGCTCCACTGGAAAGGAGGGAATTGCTTACTCCCAAGCCTGGAGAAGGAGTTAGTCCTGCACACTCTGTGTCATCAGGGATGTGTGCCACCCTCCCGCACAGTCCCTAGGTTCAGAGAGTGGGTGAGAGAGCTTCAGGTACGGTGGGATGAACGTGTGCCCCTCTGAGGCAGCAGACCAGGTTTGGCATAGAGGGGCTGGGGCCACCCACTTCTAGCAGACCCCCAAGGGCCTGCCTGTGCCCATGCAGCCTCAAGGCCAGGCCCCTTCCTGGTTTTTGCTTTTGTTTTTTTGAGTCTTGCTTTGTCGCCCAGGCTGGAGTGCAGTGGGGCAATCTCGGCTCACTGTAGCCTCTGTTTCCTGGAGTTCAAGCGATTCTCCTGCCTCAGCCTCACGAGTAACTGGGATTACAGGCACGTGCCACCACGCCAGGCTAATTTTCGTATTTTTAGTAGCAACGGGGTTTTGCTACGTGGGTCAGGCTGGTCTCGAGCTCCAGACCTCAAGTGATCCACCCACCTCAGCCTCCCAAAGTGCTGGGATTACAGGCATGACCCTTCCTGGTTTTTGAATTGAACAAGTTTAAATTCTTACAGTAACCAGACAAGAGGGAAAGCATCCCCAGGAGTAATCAGTTTTGGAATTTCTCATTTACTTTGTAAAGCAGTGGAGGCCTAATGGGATGTCATTTGATTTAGAATAAAAATCAAATTGTAGGATGATTTCTGACCTAAGCACGGGAGAATGAATTTATATCTACTGTATTACGAAAGGGCTGTGCTAAGTCATCTCTGCTTTCCTAGCTCTAAGACTCAGAATTGGCCGGGCGCGGTGGCTCAAGCCTGTAATCCCAGCACTTTGGGAGGCCGAGACGGGCGGATCACGAGGTCGGGAGATCGAGACCATCCTGGCTAACACGGTGAAACCCCGTCTCTGCTAAAAAAATACAAAAAACTAGCCGGGCACGGTGGCGGGCGCCTGTAGTCCCAGCTACTCGGGAGGCTGAGCCAGGAGAATGGCGTGAACCCGGGAGGCGGAGCTTGCAGTGAGCTGAGATCCGGCCACTGCACTCCAGCCTGGGCGGCAGAGCAAGACTCCGTCTCAAAAAAAAAAATAAATAAATAAATAAAAAAAAAATAAGACTCAGAATTCTCTGAACAACTTACCAAATTATTGGGGACCCATGATTTTTTGTTTGTTTGTTTGTTTGAGATGGAGTTTCACTCTTGTTCCCTGGGCTGGAGTGCAATGGCGCTGTATTGGCTCACCACAACCTCCGCCTCCCGGGTTCAAGTGATTCTCCTGCTTCAGCCTCCCAAGTAGCTGGGATTACAGGCATGCGCCACCACGCCTGGCTAATTTTGTATTTTTAGTAGAGACGGGGTTTCTGCATGTTAGTTAGGTGGTCTCGAACTCCCGACCTCAAGTGATCTGTTAGCCTCAGCCTCCCAAAGTGCTGGGATTACAGGAGTGAGCCACCCCGCCTGGCCTTGATTTTTTTTTTTTAAACCAGAGTTTCTGGGTCATCAGGGCAGTGCTTTTTTCAGACTTAAAAACCTGCTATGTGACCCCTTAATTCACATTTAGACTCTTTTGAGCAGGCCTTCAAACCCCAATAAAGTGTGTTCTTGTGGTCAGAGAGCTCGACTGAAAAGAGGGCTGCATTCTGGTTTCAGCACAAGCAAACTGAATTCATTTCCCAGGGCTGCCGTAACAAATTACCACAAACTTACTGACTTAAAATAACAACAGAAATTAGGTTGGGTGTGGTGGCTCACACCTGTAATCCCAGCACTTTGGGAGGCTGAGGCAGGTGGATGATTTGAGGTCAGGAGTTCGAGACCAGCCTGGCCAACATGGTGAAACCCCATCTCTACTAAAAATACAAAAAAATAGCTGGGTGCGGCGGCTGGTGCCTGTAATCCCAGCTACTCAGGAGGGCGAGGCGGGAGAATAGCTTGAATCCGGGAGGCAGGAGTTGCAGCGAGCTGAGATCGTCCCATTGCACTCAACCTGGGTGGCAGAGCTAGCGTCCTTCTCAAAAAAATTAAAAAATAAATAAAAATAAAAACAACAGAAATTTATCCTCTTAGAGCTCTGGAGGTCAAATTCCCAAATCAAGGTATCGGCAGGGCCATGCTCCCTCCGAAGTCTCCCGGGGAGGATCCTTCCTTGTCTCTTCCAGCTTCTGGTGGCACCAACACTCCTTGGCTTGTGGCTGCATCAATCCAGTCTCTGCCTGTGTCTTCTCATGGCCGTCCTACCTGTGCCTCTTCGGAGTCTCTGTGTGTCCTCGCCTCTTCTTTTTTAGAGATAGGGTCTCACTCTGTTGCCCAGGCTGGAGTGCAGTGGTGCCATCGGGGCTCACTGCACCCTCAAATTCCTTGGCTCAAGCAACCCTTCTGCCTCAGCTTCCTAAGTAGCTGGGACTACAGGTGCATGCCATCACACCTGGATAATTTTTTTATCTTTGATTTTTTGTAGAGATGAAGTCTAGCTGTGGTGTCCAGTCTGGTCTTGAATTCCTGGCCTCAAGCAATCTTCCCGCTTTGGTCTCCCAAAGTGCTAAGATTATAGGTGTGAACCATAGCATCTCCTTGCTCCCCTCCCTTTTCTCCCATGTCAGCATCTACCAGTGCCTGGCCTGCTGGCATTAAGTCTAGTTCTGTTGCCCAGGCTGGAAGGCAGGAGTACAGTGGTGTGATCTCAGCTCACTGCAACCTCTGCCTCCCAGGCTCAAGGAAGTCTCTTGCCTCAGCCTCCTGAGTAGCAGAGATTACAGGCATGTGCCACCATGCCTGGCTAATTTTTGTATTTTAGTGAAGACAGAATTTCACCCTGTTGGCCAAGCTGGTCTTGAACTCCTGACCTCAGGTGATCCGCCTGCCTCAGCCTCCCAAAGTGTTGGGATTACAGGCATGAGCCACTGCACCTGGCCAGCATTAAGTCTAGTTCTTTTCATTGGACTGTTCACTTGTTGAGGGAAAGGACTGTCATATGCCACGTTTGTTTCCTGACAACATATATCATGTATATGTTTGCCCACACTTCTTCAAATGAATTAGCTGAATAACTTAGTTCTCACTTTTTCTCCTTCACTGTGCTCTTGGAGGAGAATCAAACAGAGGGAGTGATGAGTTTAGATCTGATTAATTCAGATTGGCTGTTCACATCGAGTGCATTCGGATGAGCTGTTCAGCCCAACTCCCCACACTCTTCATCTAGGAAACTATCAACTTGGCAGCAACAAAGAAGATAAAGTAGGACTGTGGGCTAGAGTATCATGAAGTCATAGTTGTTCATCTGTGAGACACTGGATTTGGTGTTGTTTTAATATTTATTTATTTATTTGAGACACTCTCGTCATCCAGGCTGGAGTGTAGTGGTGCGATCCTGTCTCATTGCAACCTCCGCCTCTCAGGTTCAAGCAATTCTCCCACCTCAGCCTCTCGCATAACTGGGATTACAGGCACATGTCAGCACGCCCGGCTAATTTGTGTATGTTTAGTAGAAACGAGGTTTCATCATGTTGGCCAGACTGGTCTTGAACTCCTGAACTCAAATGATCCTCCCACCACGGCCACGCAAAGTGCTGGGATTACAGGCGTGAGCCACCACACCTAGCCTGTTTTGTTTTGTTTTGTTTTGTTTTGTTTTCAGATGGAGTCTTGCTCTGTCGCCTAGGCCCAGCCTGTTTTAATATTTACATTAATTTTTTTCTTTTGATGTTTATTGTGCAAATTTGCTTTCAGTTCCTCATTATGACACATATTTGGTTATCACACAGGGTAAATTGTCTGAACAGAGCATTTGTCTATATCCGTAACACAGAGTGCATAATTTGGGGTTTTGAAAATGTCTCTCAAAACTGAGCTTCTCCCTTATTTAAAGACATTGTTCTTTAAGTAGAGTGCAGTTGTAGAAATTGTAATAATAGTAATAGTGATAATAATAATAACATCCCCCAGAGCATCATGCCTTTTAATACCTATGCCCTGCTATAATCCCCTCTCATGGTGACTCTGGGCTTGGCCACGTGACTTGCTTGGCCCATGGGACAACAGCAAGTGGAACGCCAGCAGAGGCTTGACAAGTGCCCCTGTATGGGGTGGTCCTCCTGGAATGCTGTCCAGGCCATCCTGCTGGAAAGGCCACCCAGAGAGAGAGGCCCATTGTCTGGCCATCCCACCTGACCTGGGTCGCAAACTGACCTGCAACTGAATGTAGCCATGAGTGAGCCCGGGCCAGACCAGCAAAAGAACTTCTCAGTCAACACGTCAAATGGGAAATCAGAAATTGTCGTTGAAATAATAAGTTGTTGGGATAGTTTGTTAAACAGCAGAGACTAAGATATTAAACTTATTGAATAAACTCATTTATTACATAGCTCTAATTCTAATCTTCATAAAACTGCACACCAGTTCTTACCTGCAAACATTTTTTTAAATCCCATTCACAATTTGTCTTTTTGTAGGAATTTTTTCTCTCTCTTTTTCCAATGCAGATGGTATAAAAGAATGAAAACTTAAAGGGCGTAGAATTCTACCACACAGTTAAGTCTGAATTAAAAAACAAAAACAAAAACTAAAACAAATCAAATTATACAGGAGTGTATAAAATGAAGTCTCCATCCATTATCCTCAACCTGAAACCCTCTCCCCAAAGGAAAACACCTTTAACACCTTTAACAAGTTCTTTTTTTTTTTTTTTTGAGACGGAGTCTCGCTCTGTTGCCCAGGCTGGAGTGCAGTGATGCGATCTCAGCTCACTGCAAGCTCCGCCTCCTGGGTTCACGCCATTCTCCTGCCTCAGCCTCCTGAGTAGCTGGGACTACAGGCGCCCGCCACCTCGCCTGGCTAATTTTTTGTATTTTTTGTAGTTTTAGTAGAGACGGAGTTTCACCATATTGGCCAGGCTGGTCTTGAACTCCTGGACCTCAAGTGATCCGCCCACCTCAGCCTCCCGAAGTGCTAGGATTACAGTAGTAATTACACTGCACACAGCACCAAATTCTTAAATATCTTTTTTTTTTTTTTTTTTTGAGACAAGGTCTGACGCTGTCACCCAGGTTGGAGTGCAGTGGCATCATCTGCACTCACTGCAACCTCTGCCTCCCAGGCTCAAGTGATCCTCCCACCTCAGCCTCCCAAGTAGCTGGTACCACAGACGTGCAGACATGCACCACTGTGCCTGACTAATTTTTGTATATTTTGTAGAGATGAGGTTTCACCATGTTGCCCAGGCTGATCTTGAACTCCTGAGCTCAAGTGATCCACCCAGCTCAGTCTCCCAGTGTTGGGATTATAGACAGGAGCCGCTGCACCTGGCCAAGTTCTTAAATATCTTTTACAAAAAAATTTTAGGAACATACCAGTAGTAGACTCTGCTTATTGCCTACCCGCTATTCTTTTTCCTGTCACAAGTAGTGGGATCCTACTAAGGAAGGAGACCACTAATACTCCTGCTGCCCTCCTCCCCCTACCTTGCCTAGTTCACAAGACAGGAGGAAAGAGAGAAAGCAAAAAGTTGGAAGGAAACAGAAGATAAATAGCCAGACAAACTTGGCACCGCCACCTGGCCCTAGGAGTTAAAAAAAGTAATAATAATAATATCAACCCTGACCTAAACTACTTGTGTTATCTGTAAATTCCAGACATTGTATGAAAAAGCATTGCAAAACTTTTTTTTTTTTTTTTTTTTTGAGACGGAGTCTCGCTTTGTCACACAGGCTGGAGCGCAGTGGCCGGATCTCAGCTCACTGCAAGCTCCGGTTCCCGGGTTTACGCCATTCTCCTATCTCAGCCTCCCGAGTAGCTGGGACTACAGGCGCCCACCACCTCACCCGGCTAGTTTTTTTTTTTTTTTTTTTTCTGTATTTTTTTAGTAGAGACGGGGTTTCACCGGGTTAGCCAGGATGGTCTCAATCTCCTGACCTCGTGATCCACCCGTCTCGGCCTCCCAAAGTGCTGGGATTACAGGCTTGAGCCACCGCGCCTGGCCTGCAAAACTTTCTGTTCTGTTAGCTGATGCATGTAGCCCCCGTCACACTTGCTTAATTTATCACGACCCTTTCACGTGGACTTGTTAGAGTTGTAAGCCTTTAAAAAGGCCAAGAATTTCTTTTTCAGGGAGCTCGGCTCTTAAGATGCAAGTCAGCCGACGCTACCATTGAATAAACCTCTTCCTTCTTTAATCTGGTGTCTGAGGAGTTTTTGTCTGCGGCTGGTCCAGCTACACTACCTTCAATCACAGGGTTGACTTCAGTTAGATTCAACTCTATGTTGGTCCAATCAAACCCAGAGGAAGGGTTTCTGTTCTATGATTGGGGAGCTAGCTTTTCTCTCCTTCCTGCTGCATAAAAATATGGAAGCATGTAGCTCCAGACACTGCTGGCAGCCATCCCATGACCAGGAGAGCTCTGTCTTCAGAGCAGTCAGCCGAGAACAGTGGAGCAAAGAAAGCCAACACCTTGGCTCTTGATGGCTTCCTGGAGCCACTGATAACCCCTTGCCTGGAACCCACCTTAATATCAGAAAATTTTATTGTTTAAACCATTTACATTCTTAGTTTTCTGGTTGGTTTTCTTTTTTTTTTTTTTTTTTTTTGAGATGGAATCTCTGTTGCCCAGGCTGGGGTGCAGTGGAGGCATCTCAGCTCACTGCAACCTCCGCCTCCTGGGTTCAAGGGATTCTCCTGCCTCAGCCTCCCAAGTAGCTGGGATTACAGGTATGTGCTACCACGCCCGGCTAATTTTCGTATTTTCAGTAGGAGCGGGGGTTTCGCCGTGTTGTCTAGGCTGGTCTCAAACTCCTGACTTCTGGTGATCCACCTACCTTGGCCTCCCAAAGTGCTGGGAGTACAGGCGTGAGCCACCGCGCCCCGCCTGAAACACTTTCCTCTCTAGGCTTCTGCGCCACAGTTGCCACCACACCCTATGCAATGGCTGTTCCACCACCAACACTGCCAGACCTGTAGCTGTTGCAGGTGCCAGGGTCTCTCCTTGGCGTCTTCTGTCTCCTGTCCACAGCCTCTCCCCAGAGCTTCTCATTCAGGGCCCTGGCTTTATTTAATTAATTTATTTATTTTGAGACAGCATCTTGCTCTGTTGCTCAGGCTGGAGTGCAGCGGGGCAATCATGGCTCACTGTGGCCTCAACCTCCCCAGCTCAAGCAATCCTCTCACCTTAGCCTCCTGAGTAGCTGCGACTACGGGCACATGCCACCATGCTTGGCTAATTTATTTTTATTTTTGTGAAGATCGAGTCTCACTGTGTTGCCGTCTTTTTTTTTTCCCGTAGGTTATTGGGGTACAGGTGGTATTTGGTTACATGAGTAAGTTCTTTAGTGGTTAATTGTGAAATTTTGGTGCACCCATCACCCAAGCAGTATACACTGCACCCTATTTGTAGTCTTTTATCCTTTGCCCCCTTTCCAGCCTGGGCAACATGGAGAAATCCCATCTCTATCAAAAAAATATAAAAATTAGCCAGGCATGGTGGCACACGCCTGTAGTACCAGCTACTCTGGAGGCTGAGGTGAGGGGATCACTTGAGCCTGGGAAGCAGAGGTTGCAGTGAGCCAGGATCTCACCACTGTACTCCAACCTGGGTGACAGGGTGAGACCCTGTCTCAAAAAAGAAAAGAAAAGACGAGAAGGGAGGGGAAGGGAGGGGAGAAGGACGGGGAGGGAGGGGAGGGGAGGGGAGGGGGAAGCAGAGGGGAGAGGAGAGGAGGGGAGAGGGGAGGTAAGTAAAAATAAAAGATTAAAAATGGTATAGGTATATAGGGCATTTACCAATAAAAACGCTTGCAGGACTGGAAGTTGCTCTGGGTGAACCAGTGAGTGAGTGGTGAGTAAATGCGAAGGCCTAGGGCATCACTGTACAGTACTGTAGACTTTATCAACACTGGACACTTAGGCTGTGCTACATTTATTTACTTAGTTAGTTATTTATTTAAGACGGAGTCTCGCCCGGCGCGGTGGCTCACACCTGTAATCCCAGCACTTTGGGAGGCCGAGGCGGGCAGATCATGAGGTCAGGAGATCGAGACCATCCTGGCTAACACGGTGAAAACCCATCCCTACTAAAAATACAAAAAATTAGCTGGGTGTGGTGGCACATGCCTGTAGTCCCAGCTACTCGGGAGTCTGAGGCAGGAGAATGGTGTGAACCCGGAAGGCGGAGCTTGCAGTTAGTCGAGATCGTGCCAGTCCTGGGATATAGGACTAAGTGTAACGGCGTGATCTCTGCTCACTGCAACCTCCACCTGTCTCAAAACAAACAGACAGACAAACAAAAAACCCATACATAAATAGCCTCAGCTTATGTAGGGTCAGGATCATCAGTATCACTCTCTTCCACCTTCATATCTTGTCCCACTGGAAGGTCTTCATTGGCAATAACATGCATGGAGCTGTCATCTCCTATGATAACCACTGCTGCTTCTGTAATTGTCATCTCCTATCATAACCATTGCTGCTTCTGTAACTGTCATCTCCTATGATAACCATTGCTGCTTCTGTAATTGTCATCTCCTATGATAACCATTGCTGCTTCTGTAATTGTCATCTCCTATGATAACCATTGCTTCTTCTGTAATTGTCATCTCCTATGATAACCATTGCTTCTTCTGTAATTGTCATCTCCTATGATAACCATTGCTGCTTCTGTAATACCTCCTGAGCACCTGCCTGAGGCTGTTTCACAGTTAACTTTTTTTTTTTTTTTTTTTTTGAGACGGAGTCTTACTCTGTCACCTAGGCTGGAGTGCAGTGGTAATCATAGCTCGCTGCAGCCTCGAACTCCTGGACTCAAGTCATCCTCTGGCTTTAGCCTCCCAAGTAGCTGAGATTACAGATGCATGCCACCACGCCCGGCTGATTTTTGTATTTTTAGTAGAGATTGGGTTTCACCATGTTGGCCAGGCTCGTTTCGAACTCCTAGCCTCAAAGTGATCCACCCACCTTGGCCTCCCAAAGTGCTGGGATTATGGGTGTAAGCCACTATGCCCGGCCAACTTTTTTCTTAATAAGTAGAAAGAATACACTCTAAAATAACAATACAAAATATACTATAGTCATAAATCAGTAACATAGTCATTTATTATCAAGTGTTATATATTGTACATAATTGTAGGTGCTAGATTTTTTTTTTTTGAGATAGAGTCTTGCTCTGTCACCCAAGCTGGAGTGTAGAGGCTCAATCTCAGCTCACTGCAACCTCCACCTCCTGAGTTCAGGTGATCCCCCACCTCAGCCTCCCAAGTAGCTGGGATTACATGCACCTGCCAGCATCCCAGGCTAATTTTTGTATTTTAAGTATAGACGGGGTTTCACCATGTTGGCCGGGCTGGTCTTGAACTCCTGACCTCAGGTGATCCGCCCGCCTCGGCCTCTCAAAGTGCTGGGATTACAGGCATGAGCCACTGCACCCGGCCTATGTGCTGGATTTTTACATGACTGGCAGCACAGTGGGTCTGTTTACACCAGCATCACCACAAATTTGTGAATAATGTCTGCACTATGACATGTCTACGCTGTCACTAGGCGATAGGAATTTTTCAGCCCCGTTATAATCTTAGAGGACCGCCATATATGTGGTCTGTCATCAACAGCAGCGTTAGTATTGGCTGTGTGACTGCACATATCTGTTGAGTTGATGAATGGTGTGTGGTAGAATTTATTCTACCAAGTTATTTCCCTTGGATGGGCTGTGTTAAATGACTTGGGGCAGAGGATGGTTTTCAATCTTTGGAGATAACCAGCTTTTCTGCTCATTAAGCAACACATTTCTCTGGCCTTTTTTTCTTTTTTCATTACATGTACAATTTGTATTCTTTTTCCCAGAGAGTCAGAGTCACTAAAGAGCTTATTGGCCGGGCGTGGTGACTCACGCCTGTAATCCCAGCACTTTGGGAGGCCAAGATGGGCAGATCACAAGGTTAGGAGATCGAGACCATCCTGGCTAACACGGTGAAACCCCATCTCTACTAAAAATATAAAAAACTGGCCGGGCGCGGTGACTCAAGCCTGTAATCCCAGCACTTTGGGAGGCTGAGACGGGTGGATCACGAGGTCAGGAGATCGAGACCATCCTGGTTAACACGGTGAAACCCCGTCTCTACTAAAAAATACAAAAAACTAGCCGGGCGAGGTGGCGGGCGCCTGTAGTCCCAGCTACTCAGGAGGCTGAGCCAGGAGAATGGCGTAAACCCGGGAGGTGGAGCTTGCAGTGAGCTGAGATCCGGCCACTGCACTCCAGCCTGGGCGACAGAGCAAGACTCCGTCTCAAAAAAAAAAAAAAAAAAAAATATATATATATATATACAAATTAGCCAGGCGTAGTGGCGGGCGCCTGTAGTCCCAGCTACTCGGGAGGCTGAGGCAGGAGAATGGCGTGAACCCAGGAGGCGGAGCTTACAGTGAGCCGAGATTGCGCCACTGCACTCCAGTCTGGGCAACAGAGTGAGACTCTGTCTCAAAAAAAAAAAAAAAAAAAAAAAGTCAAACAACAACAACAACAAAAACCCGGCTTATTGATAGTGAGAAACAAAAATCATCCGTGTCTCCCCTCTGCCTCTCATGGGCTTGGAGGCTGTCAGAGCCCTCAGGAGCGACTCACCTTGTCCCATCTCCTCCTTTTACAAATGAGATAGACGTGGGGTTCAGGAGGTATAGGGACTTGTCCAAGGCCCACGGATAAACCAGTACAAAGCCACTGGAGGCGGTCATGGCGATGTCTCGGGAGGGATCTGAGACATGAAGGACTGAATGTGTGGTGAGTTCATTGGAATGGGCGGCCCGGTGTGGTGGCTCACGCCTGTAATCCCAGCACTTTGGAAGGCCAAGGCAGGTGGATCATGAGGTCAGGAATTTGAGACCGGCCTGGCCAATATGGTGAAACCCCGTCTCTACTAAAAATACAAAAATATTAGACAGACGTGATGGCAGGTGCATGTAATTCCAGCTACTTTGGAGGCTGAGGCAGAAGAATTGCTTGAACCTGGGAGACGGAGGCTGCAGTGAGCTGAGATTGCACCACCTCACTCCAGCCTGGGTGACAGGGTGAGACTCCCTCTCAAAAAAAAATATATAAAATATATAAAAACATGTAATTATATATTTTATATATATATGTATATAAACGTATATTTGGTTTGGAGACAGGGTCTCACTCGGTCACCCAGGCTGCAGCAGCATTGAACACTTAGGCTCAAGTGATTCTGGAGCCCCTTTAGTAGCTGTGATTACAGGCATGTCCCACCATGGTGGCTAGTTTTAAAATGTTTATTTTATAGAGATGAGGTCTTGCTATGTTGCCCAGGCTACAAAAAACTTTTTTCGGGCCAGGTACTGGATTACAACTGTAATCTCAGCACTTTGGGAGGCTGAGATGGGTGGATTCATTGAGCACAGGAGTTTGAGGCCAGCCTGAGCAATGTGGTGAAACCTTGTCTCTACAAAACAAAGATGACAATTACCCAGACGTGGTAGTGCACACCTGTGGTCCCAGCTACTCAGGAGACTGAGGTGGGAGGATCACTTGAGCCCAGGGGGTCGAGGATACAGTGAGTCAAGGATGGCGCCACTGCACCCCAGTCTGGGGAACAGAGCAAGACTCTGTCTCAAAAAAAAAAAGTTTTAAAAAACTTAAAAAAAAGGCCAGGCGCTGTGGCTCATGCCTGTAATCCTAGCACTTTGGGAGGCCAAGCTGGGTGGAGCATTTGAGGTCAGGAGTTCAAATAAAATATATTTATATGTATTTAAAAATATATATTATATTTATATATATTTTTAAAATTTTGCTTTATATATTTACTTTATTGTTTGGTTCTTTGTTATTGTTGAGACAGAGTTTCACTCTTATTACTCAGGCTGGAGCGCAACGGCGCGATTTTGGCCCACTGCAACCTCCCCCTCCTGGGTTCAAGCGATTACTCCTGCCTCAGCCTCCGGCGTAGCTGGGATTACAGGCGCGTGCCACCACGCCCGACTAATTTTTGTACTTTTAGTAGAGACAGGGTTTCCCCGTGTTGGCCAGGCTGGTCTTGAACTCCTGACCCCAGGTGAGCTGCCCACCTCGGCCTCCCAAGGTGCTGGGATTACAGGCGTCAGCCACCGGGCCCGGC